ATTTTCCATCATTTGACATAACGACGCCGTTTGCGCCGCCATTTACGCCGCCGCCACTGAATTTTTAGCTCCACGCCGCCGCCGAAGATTTCGGCATCGGCGCACATGCCTAATGTGAACAAGTATAGGAAGGAGAAAAGATAAAATAGGGGTAAACATTCTTACGCTTAGGTTGTCCTCGCCAGCAGCCTCGGAAGAAATGGCTTGAATGGTATTTTTAATGTCAGTTTCGGATATTTTTGAAAAGACAAAAGATGTGCAGTCTGGCCTCGGAACCAGTGAAAGTTCTGCGAGCGTAGAATCCTTTATGTCACCATCGATAGTAGAAGGAGGAAGGGAGAAGTGTCTGTTAAGGACGCTTATGGGCGCTTGTGCACTACACTGAATTTTCAGGTCCGGCGGTCCGATTTTTTCCGGTCCGGAATGACGTGAAAAACTCGGATGAGTAGCTTGTGCACTTGTCCGTTTTTTTCCTGATCGGAGCGGCGCAGTGTAGTGCAGCTCTCTTTGAAGCTACACGTCACTTACGCTAGGTACGATGAGATTTTTGGAACGTCGGTAATTCCGTTCGAAGACGTAGAAAGGTACCTAAATAATGATCTGATCGTTTTACATAAACCATAATAAATTATGGCAAGACGAATGCATTTTTTTTACTGCTATCGGATGACTACTATCAGATGTAAAAACTTATATCCTTACTTATTTAGGAACAGCATTATTCACATACAATAGCTAAAAATATCTGTGACATTAGAATAAAATTACTGATAATGGTCTAGTACTTGATGTTTAAATTTTTAAACGTGCTATTTTTTTTCGAAGTTTTGTAAAAACAACTTTCAGCGATTACAGAGATAGACCAATCGGTGGCGCCATTTCGTAAACAAATCGAAATTGGTGACGTGTTAGCGGAGAATTATTATGCTAAATGAACTTTACGAGATCAGTTGACTGTATTATATATAGGCATAATTTTTATACGCGTGGTGTAGTTTCTTTGAGCAGAAATATTTTTCCCTTAGAATACTTCTTTTTTAAAATTTATTAATGACACAAACAATTTTATTAAATGCGAAAAAGACATTGAGTGTCACTTAATTACTTTTGTAAATCTTCTGTTTATTCTTTATTATTACTTCTGTTGTCGAATATTTATCTATACTTATCAATTGTCTAAAAAAAAATTGATAATAACAGATTTCCAGGCAAACTTTCATCCCCTATTTTTCGCGATAAAATGTAGCCTATGTCCTTTCTTAGAGTTAAGTCTATTTACTATATTAATTTCCATTTAGATGTGTTCAGTTGTTTAGGCATCTAAGCGTTACAACACTTATTTATCTTACCTTAAGCTATCGATACTTTTAATACGATTCTAAAATCTAGCTAAGTATCGATACTAGAACCATACGCTGATCAAATTAGAACTTTACCGAGTTGTGATATATACTAACTATATTGAATCATCATATAAAATATAGCATTTAATAATCAACAATAAATATCGATTATAAGTTTATTGGAAATTAACTATATTGCCGAAATAAATATCGATTCAAATCGATTATTTTTCCCAAGCCTATTCCTTATGAATTTTCCGGATCTCGGACACAGCACCAGTATATGTATTATCTATGCACAGCAGTGCACAAGCGTAAACACGTTTTTCATTGCTGCCATCACGGAACTGAAAAAACCGGTCCGGAATAGAGAAAAGTAAAATTCCGGACGGTAAAATTCCTGACAGTGCACAAGCGCGCATTACCTACATATGGCCTGACATATCCGACCTGAAAAAATCGGACCGCCGGACATGAAAATTCAGTGTAGTGCACAACCGCCCTAAATCTACATTGGTAGACTCAGTAGCAGTAGATTTCCCCACTCCTACAGAGCGCAAAAACCGCCAGGCATCAGTAGGATTGCGATCAGTAAGAGAGCTATGGAAGAAGCGTCGCTTAGCATCCCTACACATACGACTGCAGCAATTTCGAAGAACCTTAAAACGAATAAGATTGCGGTTAGTTGGACGTTTCTTATATGCTCTTTTTGCCTTATCTCTTTTTTGACCACCAAAAAAATTGACCACCCATCCAATTGCCGGCCTTTGCAATCGTCGCTTAACCTCCTCAATCGCAGATCAAACGAGCTATCCGGCACCATCGAGCTTTTCATTTGTTTATATACGGATATTGCCGTATTTTTTTGTAAAATTCAATATATTTTGATGATATGGTAAGTATGAGCAAATGAATCGTTCCTCGATATTATTGAACAGAAAATCAAAAGCAGATCGAGCGTTCTATTACCTTCATACATTTGAAGTGATACCGCAGACCATGAGATTTGTGACCAATATTGACAGATAGTACAATCTCATGAGCAAACACTTGAGTTTTTCCATACATTTTATAAGTGCATGCGATTCGTGTGATATCGTTCATTCATATCGAATAACATCGCATCTAGCCATGAGAAAAGAACCTTAGGTTACTTTCCATTCGAATAAAGCCGCGGGCACAACTAGTTTAATATAATTCTAATTTACTACTTTTCCAAACAGGAAACAGTCCATGTTTCCTATGGATGACGAAAATATTTCGAAATCGTCGACGAAAAATATGGCACGAATATTTTTTAATTAATATTTATAATTTTATTGATATATTGTCATCGCTATTTATATTTAAAGCCTATGATTTGGCTAAACTTGTTTCTTTTAATTTTTGTCCGATCTTAGCAGTCGTGTTTTTAATTTTTAAATAATTTTTATATTTTATTCATTTTAGTGAGCAGTTAATTTTGTATACAGATTATATATTTTTAATAGACCTTTAATTTGATACCCATAAAGTTATGATTATAAAAAAACATACTTTTTTAAATGGCGTCACACGTCCCCATACCTATTTAATATTAATAATTAAGCTAGTTTCACTGATACTCTGTGTATTTTGTGGTAACTTAGGATGATGTTTCTAATGATACCCTGTACACTCATATCCGTTATGTCTTTCAAAAGTTATGGTGCAATAAAAATACTCACATACATACATTAATTCTAAAAACAATAGACTCCTTTTCGAGAGCAGTCGTTTAAAATATTCGGGAATCGATAATGAATCTCACCATAGAAATACTAAAATAAATACAAAAATTGGGAAAAGTATCAAAATAGCTTGAACGTGTTTTCAACACAGTATTGTGGACTCGTGACCTTGAACAAGTTCTCGAGAACTCAAATCACAGAGTGAAAATTTGTCATATGGCTCTTAATATTTTTTAACACTTTACCTGACGGACAAACAAACAATCGTCATCCCTATTAACCAATGATATAAGCGCGCAAAGGAAGATAAATTAACAAATAAATTTATGTTTTTTCTTTATATAATAACACTTTTTTGGGAAAAAACATGTGATCGTGCATCATATGATCATATGAAAGTTTTTAAATGACTTTCCCAAAACATACAAGTAGCTCAATCTCGCTCAAGGTCACACACCGGAATCTGCCCTGCGATTCTGTAAAAATCCTAAGAAGCCCTGCGATTCTGTAAAAATCCAGACCCGAATTCGAATTCACTCATGTGTCCGAATTCACGTCATTTAGTGTAAAAATTCTATTGATTCCATTTTTTTTGTATAAAAATACAAAACAAAAGTGATCGAATACACGTGTCTCAGATATTCTATTCCTATATCATTTCGAAACTCACTTCACTTATGCCACGAAACGTTATTACCAATTCAAGGTTTTTTTTTTTTTTAATGCAGGTTCCCCCACTTTTGAGCACGTTGACCAATTCAAGGTTGAGCGTATGCCTCTTTTTGAAGTCAATTCGGACACCTGAGAGAATTCGAATTCGGGTTTGGAGTTTTACAGAATCGCAGGGCTGAATTCAAATTCACTTCAAAAGTGGCATCCGCTCAATCTTGAATTGGTTATAATGTTCCGTGACATAAGAAAAGTGAGTTTCGAAATGAAATAGAAATACAATATTTGAGATACGTATGAATCAATCAATCTTGCTTTGTATTTTTATAAAAAAATTGATCCAATAGAATTTCTACACTTAATGACATGCATTCGGACACATGAGTGATTTCATATTCGGGTTCGGAATTTTCTACAGAATCGCTCGCCAGATTATAAATTGTTGCGGATATCACGACAAATTCGTAGCGTTGAAATGAGATAAAAAGTGCTGATTGATGATCAATCTCATATTTTTCTAATTATGTGGCAAATCGAGTAAAGCATTCCGATTGTGATTTTTGATTGTGATTTAAGGTTGAGGCTACGTTAAACCAAAAGCTATTACAGATAAAATTGAATACTGACAAAAATAAATACAGATAAAAATAAATATTACAGATAATAATAAATAAAGATGACAAAATATACAAAAGTTACACTACAAATCAAAATCAGATTCATTTTTTGTTACAATAACCGTGAAGTACAATTTAAAATTTCCAGGTGAAATATGATTACAAACGTATACAATTCTATTGAATAATTCTGTATAATTTCACAAAATAAATAAAAAGACAGAGAAACTTTAATAAGTTAAATAATTAAAGAAGAAAACAAGTTTTTTTAATTTTTATAAACCTGCAAAAAACGTTTGCACGTCTTTAGATCCTGAAATAAACTGACAAAAATTCACTGCCCGCAGCCCCTCCACTTTGCGCACCTCTCACTCGCTCGTTCCCAACTTAATCGTGCCAGAACGGGAGCGCAAATCATACGGGCAGTGAGGTTGATTTCACTCAGTTGTCGAAGTAGGGATGACTTCACCGCAGCTAAGGGGATGCGATTGTATGGTTGGTGGAAATGGGGATGATACGGCTCGAAGTCTTGCCGAGCTCAGATCGTTGCTTTGCACCCACAATTCCAGCTATAATCAAAAGAATTCATTATAAAAAATACAGTCACACATGAGACCTTTATTCTTCTTCCAGCCACTTTATCACGGTAATCTTTATAATTATTATAATCTGATACACTTTTCATTCATTTTTTATTGTTTTTTACACAAACTTCGATCGACGAACTCGATTGCGCAGTTTTTAGCAGGGTCGGCTTGCGATCCTGTTGTTAAGCAATTTTTGCATTGATCGATCATAAGATGGGTTGCCAAAAATTTATTATCTCGAGCTCCTCTCTGCTTCGGAAGGCACGTTAAGCCATTGGTCCTGGCTGCATCTGCAATCGTTAATACCCACTAATTTGCAATAGACCCGCGTGGTGGGTCGTGACCCATTATCCCTATTCGATCTGATCTGATCGAATAGGGAAGGCCTTAGCCCCAGGATTAATAGGCTGGTGATAATTATGGACACAAACTTCAGCTGAATGATGTTTGCAAACTTTACGCTATTACCTCAGGCGGCATCTTGGAAGGTGGTGGTCTGCATGCGCCGGCGCAGTGCAGTTGTAACAGCAGCTCAGCGATGGCGGCCGCCGACGTGTCTATGACACGTTGCCTACACACCGCCACGGCGTGAACGAACCCACCGGGACCCACGAACTCGTGTTCCATAAACACCGTCTTTTCATCCCAGTATATCGCCTGGCAGATTTTCAATTTTTTAAAATATTGATATGGATTAGAAAAACGACCCAAAAAAAAGAAAGTGCCTTTTGATGCGGTATGAACAATTGGGTGTAGGTATTGGGCAATAAAACGAAATAAAAAAGATTCTACTAAATATTGTTCTAATGTCACAGTTCGTTGTTCCCCATCCTAACGTGTGACGTAATTTATGGATGGCCCCATAGGTTGCACCAGTTTACTGTTATATTACCTATCGCCATGCAAGCTATTTACAAAAATTATCAATAAAAATATTTTGTCCAGAAGTACTTGCAGAAGGCTGACTAAAAAGCTTGTCAATTTTGGGCAATTTTTGTTTACTTTCTTCTCTTTCTTGGCGTTATTTGCGTTTAAATGCACCACTGGGTTTTTGTCCATAATATTAGTTGTCTAATATATTTTACAAGTAAAAGGAAAGGGAAACGTAATGATACGATACAAGACGTCGTTGGGGAATCCCCGGCAAACATTTTATCGCCGCCAGTGTTACCAAAATGACAAATAAACATCACGTAATTAACGGCCCCCTACCGCATGTGACTTGTATTTTTCACGTATTTTGAGTTATATAGTGAGTAGCCAAAATCTATAGATTTCTTTACGTAACTATGTATACGTACTATAATCAAATACAATTGAACTTTTGTGTGGACCAGTACAAAAAATTTATTGACATACGCTTACTTACTCCTGATACATTAACGTTTTTACCATTCTCGAAAAAAATCTTGACTCGAAGTTCACAATCGCGAATATTGATATCCGACAAATTGATGAAAACATTAATAACACTGTCAACCCACACAAATCATTTAGGGGAAGTCCCTTTTTATAACTTTGGAATTTCTCAGAAATGATTTGCCATGATTAAACTCGAGTTGTCACCTGTCATATTTATTTTGAAAATGGCAGAAATTTTCAAAAGTTGAGTTCTATTGAGATTTTCTGGTAAAGATTCGAGGGCCCCCTGAGATTGAGGGCCCCGGGGCACTGCCCCGCCTAGCCCCTTGGTAGCTACGCCACTGTCCATACCACTAAAAGCTTTCCAAACAAATACTCACCCGAGAAGTGATCACAAACTTGGTGAATGGCTTCAAATACCGTCTGTATCGGATAGTAGCAGCCGCTTGTACCACAGCACCTCCGGCAGCTTTTATACTGGAGTATAATCCAGTACGCTCGTAGAAGTCCGCCCTGGCGAAGTCCAACTCACGCAAATACCGTGCGTTGTTCATATGATACAGCAAAGTATCTACGTCGTTGAGAAGACACCATGCTAGAATCAGAAAATATAGGAGTATGTATTATCTTTCTTAGAATATTTGATAGATGCCGTCATGTTCATAATTATCGCTACCAGCATCATTATTAATGTCCCCACTGCTGGGCACAGGGCCTTTCCTGTAAATGGAATCGAATCGAATAGGGGAAATGAGCCATGAAGCACCATGAGAGTTCAGTGCAGATTGGTGGCTATAAACAACTGCAGATGCACCCAAAATCAATGGCTTAATATTCCTTCCGAAACGTGGAGGAGCTCGAGATGGCAATTTCTAGTTCACTCAAATTATGATTGGCCTTTGGGTGCTTCATTTCCGCATCGCAAACCGAACGCGCTAATCACACCCACGAAATAGAAATAATATGCTAGCTCCAATGCCGGGTGTTTGCTTCAATTAGCATCAATAGCAATCGACGATTGATCGTAGGATCTTTAGGGGACATAAGACTATGCTCGGCAGCAGACGTCGTACGGCTGTTTATGATGTTACACTCACATTCCACTTGCGTAGTGTCCAATATACAGGCCTTCTTCTTGTAATACCGCGCTTTAGCGACAGTGTACATCATCCTCGCGAAGTATGCCACATCTAGACTGCCGTACAGGAGTAAAACACCTGCTACAGCTGCGGCTCCCCATCCTGGTAGGCACACAGTCCACATACCTACTGAAAAGCAGTATAATAAGAGATATAAATAAAAATCAGCCAAACCATTATCTTCAATACCACTTTCTTTAAAAAATGCAATAAAAAATACGTTTGCCCCCCTTGAACATTTATGTTGTGTACAGAAATACATCATCTGTGAAAAATTCAACTGTCCAGTTATCATGGTTTATGTAGTTCACCCTCATGACAAATAGACGAAGTCTTAGTAATACTGAGGGTCCGTTTTTATTTAAACAAACCCAAGTGAAAGTTAGAGTTTTAGAACTAAAGTAATATGAAATTGACACATAATAATATGCCAATATTGGAGGGTAGATTGTGTTTTTACTTCGTCTACATTCTACAACGCGTCCATTAGCTCACCGCGCGCTGAAAAGAGCAGAAGCATTTTCGTAAACACGTCGCCTAAAAAGTGGAGGTGAACCTGAACGTTCCACTACCTAAATAGTGTTAAGACTCGTGGTCTTAGTATATCGTCGTGTAGACTTGCCCAACAGTGAGTTACCAAAGTTATAGCGTCGCGTGTACCCGCCAAACCACGCTACAGCACGAGCATTGAGCATCGAGCATTATCATATCAAGAGAGTATGCATTCAAGGTAGGTGAAGCTTTCTTGTTTCCCGAAAAAATTAAGAATAACGAACGTTTTTTCCGTTCACTTAAATTACAGCTCACGTCACCCACGTATGATGCAGATTCAGGTAGGTGAACGAATTTTTGTGATCTGTTTAGTATTTCCGCAGACAAAGAAACTTCCTGTTTACAATATTAGTATGTATCTGTACTACGTTACATACATATAATTATACATAAACAATATTATATGTACACATTTTTAGTTAAACGATGATGAATTCATAATGAATTGTCCAACTATAAAATTGCAAATCATCATAGAGACATACGAACGCATTCCTGAAATTCATACGGGTAAATTCCACTGTCCAAACATTTTTAGGAATGACGTCAGTATCAAAGGTTTTGTTATTTTCCAGTCATGGTGCAAAGTCCGTTCAGCCAAAATAATACGGATAAACAACATATGCTGCATTTCCCCATAATAATTAGTCATGGCGTACTAGTGATAAATAAATTATTATTACGTATATAATTTGTAACAAATTCCTCTGTAATTAAAGTTAAAGGAAGTCTAATCGTTGAAACTAAAAATAATTTAGTACGCTCCTTGGTCAATATCATTGTCAAATTGCAGCCTATAGAATAGCAGCGTAAAATCTGTACCACGAGGCATAGTGCAGGATAGAATATGATTTTTTTTTAACTTACAAAGAACTTTAGACCACTTCTTCGAAAATTTCGTCAACGAAGGTGTATGAAAATGGGCAAAGGCAAAGTTTATGTACAGATGAAGAAATAGAACGATTACAAATAGATATATAATATGTATTTAAAAATACATATATACATATAGTATAATACAATATTCATTATTAAAAATATTAGTATATAACGGAAAGCAAACACGTAGTAACTTGCAAACAAAAAGTTATTCTCAGTCAATTTTGGTTTTGCCAGTACCACGTGTTTACTTATTCCAGCGTCGATATGAAGGTGTAGAATGTTAATTTTAATAGGTATTTTTGATAGGGTGCCTGGAAGAGATCGCTGTTTAGTGATAAAACCGTCTGGTAGTGTTTAATATACTATTACTGATCACACTTTTATGATAATTATATTTCTGATATTGCTTAAATTATTTATTTATTGTAGGAAGATTTACAGGCAAATATTAATATTAGGTTAGGTTACATAGTATATTAGTCATATACTAATTACAAATATCCACAAATAGGTTGTAGATTAATGTTAATAACCTAGAGGACATCTTAAACGAAAATATATATGTCGCATCATCTTTACGAAGATCGTTTGATTTAGTTTCTTTTATTTTAATTGCTAGTTACTTGATTACTTAATTACTCGATTGTAGAGAGAGCGTGATCATCGATACTTTTAGGGTATGTTCCGATATACACTGCGAGCACTGCGCAGTGGTCTTACTGCTGAAAAATCCGTTCCGTTATGGACTGCCAGTACACTGCTGCAGTACCGTAGGGAAATTTATGACGTCATGAATTGCCGCCATATTTGTACTGTGAGCACTGGAGATTTCGAGGTAAGGTGCTCGCAGTGCTTTTGACCACGTGATCAGACGAAACAGATAAAATAAAATACTTACGTTTATTATAAGATGGATTTAATTGATAAATATTTTTTTATACAATTTTCCAATTTTATAATATTATCTTTTGAAAAGAGGGAATCTTTATATTTATATTCACCTTGCATTAACAAATTTGAAAATGGCGCCAAAAATAGGATTAACAGTATACTGGACTGCGTTCCGTTTTAAAAAGTCACCAGTATAACTAGCTATAAAGGAACGGGCTTCCAGTATACTAAATTGACGTCATACTGTTCAGTGGTCGCAGTGTATATCGGAACATACCCTTAATTTTATCAGAATGGCACTGACTTTGACAGTTCGTTAATAAAAAGCAAGTTGCCGCCATTTTGGGACACATTCTGTTTCCAAACGCCGAGGAGTAAAGATATCAGATGACATCAAGCTCATCTCGTTATATTTTCGTAAGAAAAGTGATAAAATGGAACAAATCCACGTTGGTATACACGCCTGCAGTGTTATTTTAAAGATAGTCCTCCGATATGGACTATCTATTTGGGCTTCGTAATAGCCTGTTCTGACTACCCGCCGTTATATATATTTAACAATCCTGCAATAAATCAAACAATATATTGATCATTGCTATCATCAAAGAAAGTGAGACTCAGTAATATTTTCATATATTTGGTGCTAGAACAAAACAAGTCAACATTGTAGGGTAGTCGATTAAATGTGTTGCATTGTCGTATCACAAATGTGTTTGTTCTGTAACGTGTTCTGGCTGTCAGAGGACAAGTTGCTTTTTCTTAATCGAAGCTGGTTAGTTTTAAAGTTTAATAGAGATAATAAATCCGTTCAGTCGACTCTTGCGCCGGATATTAGACAGGCAACAGGCATCACTAATCATTCTTCTTCTTCCCAAATGTAGAAAATGATACTTTTTGCGTCTATTATTGTAGTCAATGGAATACTGCTGAAATTTAAAGTCTAGGTACTTAAGAAATCTTTTCTGACGTCTCTCAATCGGAGTTAAGAAGTTTTAATAATGAGGATTCCAAATTTGAGATACGTATTCAAGTGGAGCATGAAATTTTAAATTATTTATTTTAAAAAACTGCGAATAATAAACATCAGTGCTCGAGAAGCTTTTTTAACTACATAGTCTATCAAATAAAAATTTCAAGCCGTGTATTACGCCAACTATGTAAAATAAATATTCTATACCAGTTGCCACGTGACCGTAAACAGCACATGACGTCACGCCCCTCTTCTTCATATCAGAACTTAGAGAATAAAACTCATAGATATTAGTTTTAGAGGGACGCGATGTCATAGCTACGCCATGTCAGAAGTTGACGTATTCGGAGGAAATTTTGAAAATTAAATTTATTTTTAGATTTTAACTTATTATATTTATTATCCTTTTTTAGTATAAATCCCATGTCAATTTGTACCCTAAACGATTATCTCCGAAAGTAGGTGATCATCGGTTATAGTTAACTTTAATACGTATTTTTAAAAGTGCAGCGTTGCCTTATTATTAGGCTTGTGTCCTACAAGTGAAAATACAGGTTGTTGTTATATGTTCGGAAAATATGAACCATTTTAACTTATAAATATTTTTATAGCACTAAGATGGAAAAAAATGCGCTTTGAAAACTCTTAAAAAGTAGGGAAATATATACAAAAATTTGCTACAATACATATGGCATTAAATTAGTTACATAAAACGTTACAACTTTCATTATAACAGCTATAAACATAAAGCACAAATAACAAAGATATTACAAAGATTGCCCAGACGCCCATACCTTTTTAGCTACCGTAGCACCGTAGTGACGTCACTTAGTGCATTTAATTTGTGGGGAGCGTTTTCGGCTGACTGACAGCAACTCCACAAACACAGCACAATATCTCCGAAACCATTAATTGCAAACATGCTGTTACTTCTACATTATATCTCAGATATTAATGGACTGTTTATTTATAATATAAAAATTTGTCGACTAGCCTATTACGGCAAATTGACATAACAAAAGAGAAACCTACAGCCTACGGTAGCGTAGGCTGTAATTTTCTCTCCGATTACTTAGCAAAATTTAAGACAAATTAGCAGGTCCGATTTTTGTTAAGAACCAAGCCAGAAAATAAAAGAAAAGAATAAATGCGCACTTTCCTCTGGATATTAAATGAAACGAAAGTACGTGGAAAATATCTAAAATTATATATAAAACATGTTTTATTAAAATTATTCGCTACGGCAGCAGAACAGCTTTTCCTTAAATGTACGGTACTTTTGCTTATCAAACACGGCAATAAAAAATGTATAATGACGATTTTGTTGTTATTGTTCAGTTTAAAAACAGTCCTGAACAGGGTAAATACATTGAAGTAATTTTGTTTTACGTATTTATTTATATTTACATTTTGTTTTACATATGTAAGGTATCTACTACAGTGACACGTATTTTTCTCCATTTTGTATTCATAATGTTATAAAATTTACCACTCCTATATGCCCGAGGTGGGATTAGAACCCCATAATCTTTCGCAATCCGACCGGTTGCTCTCACTGATTGATCTACTCGAGACCTACCATCACGGAAGAATTGCTCCAGCATTTGTTATCTTTGCTAAACTAGTGAGAATATTCAGGCAGACAATCTAAACAACAGAAATAAATGTTTTTACAACTATTTCCTTTAAGATAAATAACTAAATTAAGTTGGATTGATAAGATCTTTATTTGCTAGAATACAAATCAATAAGGTCATAAAATTAAATAATCAAATAGGTACAGTATTCTACCTGAGAACAGGTAGAAGCATAATACTATTATTATTCTA